AACTTATTGGAAACTCAAGACAGCCATAACATTATGATTTTTTACAAGTGTATGTACACTTTTGACCACAACTGTATGTACTCTTGACAAATTATGAAGCACAGATTTACAAAACATCCTCAACACGAACTGTACAGACCATCGCAGGCTGCAAGTTCTTTTTCCCCTTAGTCTACATAACAGAGCAGAAAAAGACAACACATATATTTCCATTTAACAAATAAATCTTCTCGATCGTTTTTGGAACAACCAACTAAACATATTTAAAAATGAAAATTCCCATAAAACTCCCATTAAAACATAAAACAACTGTACCATATTTCACAGCTGCGGTCAACAACAAATACAACAAACTTATGACAAACCGACTTCACAACTTCCCTCAAACAAAGAGCATTGAAAGGCTGACTTCCATGCAGAGGCACTGCCACTTGTTTTGAGGTTGATACGTCTATGAAGAAAGAAATGTATAAAACGGAGAGAGCTTTCACTCCTTTACCAGTCTGTAGATATGATGCTGGGCGCCGTGCTCGCTGTTTGACACTTCAAACACGCAAGCCATACATAGCAACGTCTCCTGGGTGTCCCTATTTGACACCACCTGCAACAGAAAACGTACAGCTTTCTCTAGTGGAGCAGAGCTAAGAATCTTTCTTCAAAAGAAACAGAAAAATCATCAAGAGAACCAAGAGCTGAGATATTTGTGAGCGTGGTTATTCTGTGGGAACTCCCGCTCCCTTCCCAAATGCAACAGCATGCATGTCGTATCACACTTTCTGAAAATTATCTAAAGGGCAGATCAGAAACTATATTAAAATTATTCTTTATCAGGCTAAGAAAATTGTTGTATTATCCAATTTCTTCTAAAACATTCCAGATATTCAATTGGAAGTTTTGCTCTGCAGTTTTAAAATTGTTTGAAATGGGATTTTTCTGATTCTATTACAGGTACCATGTCCAGATCAAGTCATTTTTTTTATATATTGAAATTAAAGTCCTGGCTCCACAGAAAGCTATTTGGTCACCTTTTGTGCAACCAGTTTCTAAAAGTCACATTTTGTGGTTAACAATTAACCTCTGCACATTATTAGGTCAATCTAAGAAATATAGTTTTTCCCATGAGGAACACTTTATTGGCTGTTCTTGTTTTTAATGTAACCTCTTTTGAAAGCTGTGTATGAAGGTGAATGTTTTTGTACTCTTTTTTTTTTTTTTAATTAACCAGAACTTCACTAAAATATGCTAAGTGCATTGTGCTGAAGATATTTAAAATGAGGCTGTAACTGAATCAAGTCTCTGGAACCTCTGAGTTTGAAGCTCAACAATCAACAAGTTTTGACTTTGAATTATGTTCAAAGACAAAAAACCTTTGCATCATCAAGTCCATCAGGAGTTAATAATGACGGTGGAAATTTCTTCTTACAATCGACAGGAAAGCAAGATTTATGTTTGCATTTATGTGCAGACTTTTTTTTAGGGAATTGTCTATAACATCTGATTAGCCAATGAACAGTCTGTTTAAGTTAGAATTTCATTTTCATTAAATTGCATATACTATTTATTTTATTTCTCACTCTAGGGTTACATATTTTGCAATTTGAAATCTAATTACGCCCTGCTTAAAATAGTGCAAAATTGAATAATAATTTAAATGCATGCAGTTTCTTGCCCAGTTGCAAGAGTTTGATCAGGAAATCTCCAACAGGGGTGGAACAATTCACCCTGTTAGGCCATGATAACTCAGACTGAGCCATATCTCTACTGATATATTTCACTTCAAGACCTCTGTAAATTTTAGATGTTTAACTCACTGTGGCAAGGGGAACAACTGCATATAAACACAAAATAAGAAAATTCATTGAGCTCTCAGAAACTGAGTAAACACATTTAAGAGGGTAAAAGAGTTAAAAAAAAGTAATGTAATAAGAGTTAAAAATAATGTAAACAATTGAAAAGGGCACCAGGGAGGGGTTAAAAAAATGGTAATTCATAACTTAAAGACCCAAGAAGAATACTTGTTTCCTGTCGAGAAGTGCTACAGCAGAATTTTCTCTTACATGGAAAAAAATACTGGATTTTGCCCTTAGGTGGCACTGTGCTGTTTCACTACGGACGTCATCAGCACACCATAAAAATGAGTTGGCATGTATTATCAACTCATTGATGAGATTATTGGAATGAGCAGTAAAATATCCGCTTACAGACTTCCTCTTCTTTATCTGCTTACTGTTATCTCATAACTTGCTCCGTTTTTGCCTATTTAATTTTTAATTCTTTTAAATATATTTCGTATTTTATACACCTTTCTTTATCGTTTTGTTTGACACTGCATCAAATAGTTTCAATATAAACCTGTTAGTTGTTTTAGGCCGTCACTTTGGCCAAGACTCACAAGAAGAACCATAAACTAGGACACTTGTCCTCACAGCTAATGAGACAAAAAAAAAAAGGATTTGGTTTATGGGTTAACACTAAGTTTTCTTTGTAGGTCATTTGATTGATTTGCTAAAATCTGTATTTGTCACTGATTCTTAGGGACCAAAGTGCTCTCATGAAAATACGTTGGGCTGGAATGATGCCATGTTTTCTTGGCAAAAGTAATATCTTTAAAATTAACTTAAACTAAAAAGTTACTGAGCCTGAGGAGTGAGAGGAAGTTCTTGAATAACAAAGTCCATTCAATTTGTTGAAGCTAGAAGCTGTTAAACACTTTCGGAGTCAGTAATCTTTGGCCATGGTGGCAACCTGGCGTTTAGAAAAAAGTAAAATATATCCTCTCTTGCATTTATTGTCTAGATGGGAGGCAGGTTAATTATTATTTTACCACTGCTTCTAATACCCCATGGGGTCCTGCTTTTAGCAAAACTCATAAAATCCTTCATAAAAAGAGACCCTGGTTATTGTTTTCCATACGCTCGCACACAAATATCGATCTGCGCCTGTCTTTTAATATTTTTTTTTTCTTTTGCCTTAATTATTTCTTTGTGGTTAATGACACTTAAGACCCCTGATAGCAGGAGTTCCTGCCCTCTCTTATCCTCCCTTTCCCTTTCAGATAATGAGACTCCTGGGACGGAGTTTCATCCTCTGTGGAATGAGAGGAATGTCAGAGCGGCAAAAATGACAACTGGAACCACCGACAGCACATCCTGACAGAGAAAAGAGGGAGAATGAGTCCGGGGGAGGGTCGAGGAGATGCTTACCAATAAGATGGTGAAGTTTTCCAGGACACTGTTCATCATGTATTTCTCTGGGAGATGTTTTAGCTTGTGGATGAAGTTGATCATGTATTCACACATCGGAGACCTGCTTATCCGGTACACAAAGCGTCCATTCTCAAACCGTGCATATTCAGTCTGTGGGAAGGAAAAGAGTATTCAAATCTGGAACATATATAATGTAACTAAATATAATGAAAAACAAAAAAACATAAAATAAATCCACTGCAACAATAATTCAATTTGAGCCATTTTTGATCTAAGCGGCAGAAAAAGAAAAAAGTTCATACCTCTACTTTCTCAACAACCTGCTTTCCAAAGGAGCAAACCTTTGTCGAACATGTTATGGTCATGTTCTCTGAACTTTCATATTGGCTGGTCACCCCATAAAATGATCCAGTATCATCTTGAATGTTACAGTTTAGATCGGCCTGGATGGAAAAGAAAAAAGACAGAATGATCATCTTTTTTAAGGTTCAAACAGGTGAATATGTCTTGTCTTTACAGCCAACAAATGACCAGTAGAAAACCTAAACTTGCCCATATGTAGTTAGAACAACGAGATTTGTTTCAATGTGAGACTAAAATATTAACTTTTACACATTTTTAACAGGAGCGTCAATAAATGTGGAGGGTTGTGTGTTTGTTACACGTCTGCAGGGGTTTGTTTTTCTATCAGCATCTCACACATTGTATGCAACATTATGTACATTAAATATTATTTACATATGCTTCGGCTTTGACATAATACATCACAATGTTAATTTATGGAAAATCTGGCAAAAACGCTATCTATAAACATACGCACATAGCAGATATTGATCGCAGATCTCTTGGGATTATTAATATGCATTGAATTCAAGTTTTCAGCATGTAAGTGCATCCGACCCGAGGAAGGCACCACCTAACAAGAACTAAATGAAGTTACATTAGGCGACTGATTTCTCAGGACGAATGGGACGGCTCCTGGAGGGCAGCCTTTCTGTGCCCCAAACATCCTGTTCATTATGGGCACAAAGAGAGGAGACATTCTCCCAACAACATTCTCCTCCTTCATTAAGCAAAGCAGCTACACGTTCATTATTTCGCAGATTCTGTCGTTCATTTGAAATTCAGATTCGCCGGTCACTTCAAAAGGAATTCAAGGGGACTTAGTCCAAATGCATACGGGGGCTACTTTGTTGGCCGCCGCTTGTTAGCATTTTGCATCAGGGAGGAAATACATACAATGTTTAAACAGCCATTAGGAGTGCAACCAGGTCACTCCATTGTTAGGAGATATTACGCTGAATTAGCGAGAGCTTTGATCAAAAGGCTCTCCTGCTATGCAAGTCCAAATATAGCACAGTGCATTCTGCAAACATTAAGGGAACAATCTTCTCTGTGCAGCCTGATTACTCCAAATCACCAAATACAAACTTGAACAAAGTGATACAGAACAGGATCTTTTTTTTTCTTTTTTTTTTTTTTTTTTTTTTACATTAGCAATAATTACGTGTATGATTCTAAATTGCATTTAATAACTTTAGAAATGTGGATTGTATTTTCACACTTACCCAAAATTTGATGAGGAAAAAGGAGTTCTGAGGACCTTTTCCATACAGCTCCTTCAGTCCTCCTTTCTTTTCAGGAAATTTATCGTAAATCTGACGAATGTCCACCGCCTCAAGCAAAGCATCACTGTAGGAATGATTTGTCTGTCCGATGTGTACGAACAGGTGCTTGTTGTACTAAAAGACCAAAGGAGTCGTATTTTATTCATTAAAAAAAGTGCAATTGATGGCATTAAAAATATATTCTTTGATATTATAAAGACTAGTTAAATATATCAGATCAGCCACAGACAACCTAAATAAATACAAAATAAAGTTTCCAAATGGGAAATTCTGTTTCAAAACCAGCCTTGCCCATAAGTGAAAAGTAATTTCTCTACAAACCTAGTAAATGTTTGAGGCATTCTTGGCAACATTAGGTGCTGTTGAGCATTCATAATAACTTGCAACCAGATTTTTAAATGCTTGTGGAGAAATGGTGGTCCCTCTTTCCTGAATGTTTTTCAGCATAAACATTATTTCATGCTTTGTCCCCCCAAGTTTAAAACTTCCTAGCTGTCAAGAGGACACTGTGTCCTTAAGGACCCATTGACAAACGTTTTGAGGGTGATAGTGAAAGAGTCAGATCAATGTCTACAACATGCAGCTTTCCTGAGAAATGAAACGTTTTAGATCCTTCAGCTTTATGCAAAATAAATGACTGTAAGCAAACATGAGACACAAGCCAGGTAACGATTGGTGAATCCAAGTTCTGCATAAATTTGATCTGGGTTTAAAGAAGATGCTTTAAGAAAGCGGACTGATCTAAAATCATTATGTGCTGCTGCAAAGCAGACTTTACCCCGCTCAGCCTGTTTTGGCCTCCACATAGCTGAATGCTTGTCTGGGAAAATATTTTCTCTTCATTCACAGAGAGAAGCTAGTTGCTGGCTGACACAAGGTGGGAATGAAAACTAGAAGTCAAGTCTTTAGGTACACAACTCTCCTCACCGAGTCTTGGTCTCTCTGTTGCTCTAAGAAGGCGGAGAACTCCACGAGCCGGAGTTTGGATGTGCCGATGGAGCGGCCCTGCCACGCTGGAGCTGTGGGAGCTGGAGCAGTGGCAGATTCATAACCTGAAAAATACAGAAGGGTGGCCAGAGTTTCATCTCCTCTCTGAAATGTTTCACAGTAAACACTAAACACGTTCAGGATTAAAGAATCGCTGTCCTCTTTCAGTGAAAAGGCAAATTAATTTAAGAGTTACAGCTTACAAGTGTAAGTTTGAAAACCAATAGACGGAAATGGTTCTTTGTGTTATCTCATGTCTGAACCAAAGGAGGATAATGGAGTAAGCAAGTGTCCTGAACACTCTGATCAATCTAAAAGAGGAAGCTACACATTCACTTAAATTAAAGGTTTTATTTGTACAAATATAAAATAATGAAATTATGCTACTGTGACCAAATATGTATGGATTTTTTTTTTTTTTTTTGGCTTTTCACACATATTTACAGAAGGTTAAAAGTAAGTGTGAAGGCCACTTCACTCCTGAAGTCACAGACAATATTTATTAAACATCAGTGTGGATAAAAACGATGGACCACATTATTCAGTTGAGTGAAGCTGAAACCTGCAGTGTACAGATGGTTTCGTTGCTTGCACAAGATATTAAAACATTTCTGAATTCAAAGCTATAATCAGTTTATATTTATTTTCATTTAAACATAAAAAAAAAAGATTCAGGAAGTAGCTGTGCCCATCAGAACTAAACAGTCTTATGGACTGAAAATACAACATAAAAAAAACTTAGCACAACATAATTTACTAAATTAGGTTCGAGTAAAGATAAGTTAATCTTTATTCTATATGTTCACAGTTTAAAAATGACAGATATGACCGTTATTTACAGACTTGATTCTTACTTGAAATGGCTGTTGTGACCGCTGGCTGGATTGGATATGGTTGCTGGGTAAAAGGCTTAATACTGAAAAGGGAAAGCACAGGTTTCAGTGAAAAGAGCTCTATGGAGGCATGAAACGTATAACAACAGATTAAATGTTTCTGACACTTATTGATGAGACTTACTCTTGTGAGGATCCCGGCTGCCCAGCTGATATCATACCCTGCCATAACTGGAGAATGAAGAAACATAAATCATCAAAGTAAGCCCAACTGTGGGCATCTGATACATGCAACATCAAAAAGGGTCCTAATCTTCACTGATTACAGCTATCTTGACTAGCACTCCTTCCCATCATGTGTTTATCAGATTGGAACAGTGGTGTGTAATGTGATTTGGCCAGGGTGTTGATGGAGCTGGCCCCGCTCCTGCTCTGGGTGAAGTGGGACAGGATGGATCAATAACAGGGTACCGGTGAAGTTCTTACCCCTGCTCCTGGAAAGGCGGGCCGAGGGATGCCTGGCAGGCCAAGTTTGTTGTGAATCGCCGTGGCGGAGACGATCTGAGCCGAGGACATGGAGGCCATGCTCTGGAGGGCTTTGTCCTTCACGGCTTGGTCCTTTAAGGGCAGTCACAAAAGGCTTAGCACTCGCACAGGAGAGAGTTGGGGAGCTTTGGAGCACATGTTGGTGAGGTAGCAAGAAACAGAGTCTAAACTGCACATTGAAAGCACCAGCGACCTCTTTCACAGCAGTACACAGAAAGCACATTGAAAAAAGCACCATCAGCATTGCCATGCTAAGGAAAGACTTGAGTTTTTTTTTTTTTTTTTTAAAGGTATGCGCTAAACAATAACTTTGAAATTCCAAGATATGACAGCAGGGAGTGGTATGCAGTGGAATTAAACTTTACTTGATGACTAATCTCCAATGAAAATATTTTTAAAATGCTCATTCAGAAACACTCATCTCAAGGTTGCATTTGTCTGCATGTCAAAATACATCACATAAAAACATCTGAAAGAATTTCTGAAGTAAACTTGAAGGTCGTCAACTCCGCTTCGGTAAGATTAATAAAGACCAGGGCGGTGGGGGGCTCAGGTGTTAGAGCACAGCACCTTGTGCAGAGGCTACAGTCCTCAACATGGTCAGGACTTTTGCTGCATGTCTTCCCCTTCTCTCTTCGCCCTATTTCTTGTCAATTTATCATTAAAATATATACTATTTTAAAAAATGCACGGTAAATAAACAGCACAGTTCTTTTGTTACACTGACCTACTAAAGTGTAAATGTGCAGCGCCGCTGTTGTGTTTCACTGTGGAACTACATCATTTAAATGAACAGCGCCGCCCTTCAGTTTGGCCAAAGAATTGCATCTTTAAATTTCCGCTGCTCTACTGTTTATTTGAATTCCTGGACATAAATTAGACTTATTTTTAGTTTTTCTGGTTATCCTGAGTTTTGGATGTGGCATTTTGTTTTTATTTTTTAAAGAATAATAATTATAATTGAGGTTCGTTTATATTAACTTCTCGGTAAATTGTTGCCACTTCTTTCTTAGATTTTTTTTAATATTGTTTATTTCCTTTTAACTCTTCTTCCAGTTTGACCTCAGCCACATGAAATAATTCTAGATTTTGCTAGAAAAAAATCTATAGGAAAAAAGAGATTATTAAAGAGTAATCAAGTTTGGAAATAATTAAGGTAGGCTAAATGCTTAATTAATGTAAACATTATACCAAGTTAATATTCAATTAAACTGTACAATATGCATAGATATAAATGCTGCAACAGCGTGTGCATGTTGGAACAGTGGAAAGCCCATGCAGACGTATTGGTGGCAGAAGCTTCATGTAGGCATGCTGGCAGTGGATGTCAGTGTAGCGGAGTGATGGCACAAAGAGGCACCAATAAACACACAAAAAAAAAAACAGTGCACAAACTATTGTGTCACTATGACTGCAGCACAAATGCAAAATTAGCAGCAACACACAAAGCAGCATTTAAATAAAGCAGAAACTGCAACCCAGAAATGAAAATAAATACTCACCATGCTCGTAACCTAAATGCAAAGAACAAGGTTTCATTGTAAGCTTATCAAAAATAATGCAGATAATTAAAATTTCAGATACACATAAAACAAAAAAAAAATACTTAAAATGTAATTAATAATTCAATGAAATGTGAAACCTTGACTACAGAACAAGTGTGCAAGTATGCACGCAAGTGTCAGGAACACTCAGGAACAAAAGGGTAATGAAATTTGTATTTACAAATTAGCCTTAGCCTTTGTGGTTAAAGTCTTGCTCTATAATTTCCTGATCAGTAGTCATCACTCAAGACAAAACATAATGACTGTAATTTTACTGAAATGCAACAGAAAAGAGCAGAGGCAGCAGGTTTTGATGCTGCCTAAATGAAGGGTACACTTGGATTTCTCTTTGCTGCTGAACACTAATTTGCTTTAAATGAAAAAAGACAGGGATTCATACAAAAGCTGTCTGTTTTTCTTCATGCAGCCGCCTGTGCCCCTGAAAGGGCAGCCACTGATGTGGCTAGTGGCTCCTTCTCCACACACATAGATTAATGAGGGGTCATTAATTCGTGCTGAATACAAGGAGAGGAGCAAAGTGTGAAAGTCAAAATGTATAGTCCCAGGAAAAAGGTGGAAATGGCACACGGGTAAAGTGCCCTTTGATATAAAAAATACCTTAAATACCCGTCGGTATTATTCAAGATTACTTATTTCACAATGCGCTTCTCCCACTTTATTCTGCCTTTCTGAAAAGCCTTTCTTCGTGACTTTAACAGATTTCACCATTTCTGAAATAACTGAAGCGAACGCTCCGAAATGACGACATCTGAACTGAGAGGAAGGAAAGAGGCTGACAGCCATGGCATTGTGAGAACCTAGAGTTATCAACAGATTGGGGACAAAAAGGACAAGAACAAATAAAAAGGGCATTTCAGAAAGAGGCAGCTTCACAGCCATTCTCCGTTCTAAATGTGCGCCAATGAGACTCCCGGCAGCCAAGAAAAGTTGGGTTACTCTTTTGAAGGAAGTGGAGGAATAAGGTCTTCTTCATTTCCTTACTAAACACATACACTTCCTCCCGTTCTGTGCCCCAGCTTTTTTTAATGAAGTCCGCTTGGGAAGAAAGGCACACAGGCAGTTTTCTGCACAGAGTCAGCGCTCAGCCACTCACCAACAGCCAGTGCCAGCATGCTTCACAACATGTTCACTAAACACAGATAGATTAAAAATTAAAGCCCTGGACTGTTCCACAATTATATTAAAACCCAAACCAATTAAGAAACTTGAACATATCCTTATCTTTTTTAACCATTAGGAATTTCACTTAAGTGAAAAAACTGTCTCACTCCAAGAGACTTTGGTGATCAGTAGGACGCATTTAATTTTTTAATATGAAGCTTAAATTTATTCAGGGTTTTGCTTTTTCATAAAACACCAATAAAGTCAATATCATTCTGTGGTGCTTTGTGTCAAATTTTGTAGTTTTAAACTGAGAAGTGGGAGGTTTTTTTTTTTTCCAACTTCAGTCAGCTTGATGCAGATTCTTGGTTTCAGTTAAATAAGCTTAAAGATTTAATATGTCAATATACCTAAATCATCAAAAGAAAACTCTTAAGTTTAACATTACCACAATATCTCTATTAAAAAAAATCAATATTCTTGGGAACTTCTTGCATTGCATTAAATATTATAATATATTTGAAAATACTTGATTATTAATGCTGCAGAAAATATTTTAGGAGAAAATTTGGTAGTTAGTAAGAAACTACAACTAATCTGTTTTACTGCCAAAACAGTAAATGTAGACAGATGCGTTTTTATTCAACCATGTTGTTGAGATGGTGTATTATTTTCCTCTAGCTGGATTGTTTATCAGGCTTCACTATTATCAAGAACCCAGAGAAGAATGAAAGTAATACTGTTTATTCAAGTATTTGTTTACTTATCACAGGTCATATTATCATCTTTAAATTCACTTAGCACATGTCTTTTACAACTGGTGTGCAGTCAAAACCAGTTATTAAATGGTAGTCATTTGAAGTTGATTTATCCTTGTAAATTCTCAGAGTTATTTGCTTTGGTAGCTAACCTCCTTAAATTTAGCTTAAATGGAGTGATGGGTGGCACTCTTCTAAAAACAAATCTCGACTGCCTGTAGTTTCCGAAAGCAAAGCGACTGTAATAGCTGCCCTTTTTTAATGAAAAAAAAATATTTGAAACTTCCAAATATCCGTTTATTTGGTTAATATATATACAAATAATTTCATTATTGCTTGACAGATTTTAAATTGATGTGCAGGTGCTGTTGAAGCAATGGCCCATAAAGAGAAACAAACAGAAAAAACCCACAGGGCGGACAGTGAAAGCATGACCAGGTGAGAAGACAAGCAAGAAACGGAAGGGACGTTAGAAAAGGCTGAACAGGTAACAGTCAGCAGAGGGTCAGGGATTACAGGGAACCAGAGGACCATGCATTCACTCTGTCACCACAGGAACAGGAAGTTTAAGATGCACAGCAACCAACAAGCCCAAAAGCAGAAAAGCGCATACCTTTAGCTTGGAATGAAACTCACGAGATTTTCTTCTGGCAAGAACCTGAATGTGACTAGACACCTGCGGGGCAGGGGAGGGGAGGAAAACAAAGGAAGAGCCTGTAACCATGGCAATGAAAAGCCCCCTGCAACTGGGCAAAGCCAGACGTACCTTAATGGCAGCTTGGATTTCTCGAACTTTCTTTCTTGCTAAGACCTGTATGTGACTAGACACCTCCATTGGAAAACAAGAGAAAAAGTACAATAAAAAAACAAGAAAGACCCCAAAAAAGGTTCAGAGTGGATCACAGATTCTTTATTTGTTTAAAAACACTTGAAGGAGCATAAGTGAAGCCTTCTGAAAGCACACACCAAGCTAACAACCAATAAAGGCGATGTACAGTGTGTTGTCGTGACTTAAGTGAGCTGATTAGGGAAGATGCAGGCTCCTTTTGCACACATTAAGAGCTCGCAGATGTGATCCACTGTGTGCTGAATGAAAATTGGCTGGTCTAGTATCTTGCTGGTGCAGAGCAAGGCCTTTTCTGCAGCCAAGTTTACCTTAGTCGCTCGCACAATTCAAAACGATCCTGTACTTAGAAATGAGGCAGTGTAGAAGCACTTTAATTAAAAGTAATGTGCATTAATAGGAGGTTTGAGTGGTGGGCTGCGTAGACTCCAATCACACAAATCACAGTTAAGTTGAATAGTGTAACAGAAGTAAAGGGATTCAATGGAAAAGTATCAGCAGTTGCTGCCTTTTTAACCTGGTAGTTCAAAAATATGCATGCAATTTACACAAATATCAAGACAGACCTACCTTAGTTTGACATCTGAACAATGGCTATAGCAATTATCTGATTATTAAGCATCAGAAACCATGCATGTTTTGGTTTGAGCTTATTTACAGAACAAAATTAAATGAGGTAAAATAATCAGATAGTTGTTGCAGCTTCAGCTTGTTTTTCCACAAATATTCCCATTAAAGTCATGGATAAAATTACAGACAAAAACTACATAAAATCTACATGTGCATCTAATTTATTTATTGCACTGTGCTATGAATGAGTAAATAAACCATTATGCATGTGATGGGACTGTTTACAATATCAATTTGCACAACCAACAGGAAAAGAAGCGTTTCTTGTTGTAGCTGTGTGTAAACAACAACCCCCGAGTCTAATTCTGTGTCCCAGAGCAGCAAACCATGCAGCCTTTCCGGTCCAGACTGATCAATACACACTCAGGGATTGAGTGTCACTGCAGACACCACCTTGTTTATTATAGTCATTCACTAAGGTGGTCCTCGAGGGATTTCTATTTCTAAAAGGAAATATCATTGAGATTTGATAATTTCCTGAAATATCACTAAGGAAATCCCATGATGTCTCACTTTGATCCAAAAATCATACACATCTTATGGATTCCTTAAGCAATATCCTTATAGGTCAAGAAAACAACATTTCACATCAATGAATTGTCTTATTTATAATCACCTACTAATTATGCTAATTACTTACAATAGTTACCTAAATTATATTGATCAAAAGTTAGTAAAAAGATCAAAAGTGTCTCTAAGACAGAAAAGACTGCATGGATCTCCTTATTTAGAAAGTTCATTAGGGAGTGCAGAACATTGAAAAAACTATTTACAATGCACTTTACACAAAACACAACTCAAAAATTAAGGACTTTTGTTCTTTTATTAATACCTTTTCAAACACTATTAGTGAATACAATTTTTAATTATGTACATAATTTTTTATTTTTTTTCTAATTTTAACTGTCTTAATTTAATGTTTTAATTGTTATGTCCTATCATCATGAAGCACTGTGTGATGTTTGTCTTGAAAGATTAGAGTTATTTTGGAAAACCACAGTTCAGTTGAAGCTCCGAGTCAAAATGTCCCACACTGTAGTGTGGAAAAGTCTCAAACACACCGGACTAAGCTTGCACAAATATTATTATTATATTTTTTTACGATCGGTACTTCTCTGTTTGTCAAACAATAAGACACGTTGTCCGCTGAGTATCTAGTGCTGTTTCATGTGATAAAATGCATCCCACTTGAAAATAAAAGCGAGAGCGAAGTGGTACTAATTTGCTTGTGTGAGTGCAGATGTATGTGGATCCAGTAAATAAAACTAAATGCTTCAATAGTTGTGGGAACAGAATGTATCATCTACAGATAAAAAAAATAAGCAGAAACAATTCAGTTAAACTGTTTTCTTCTGCAATAAAAACATTTTGTAATATCTATGCCAGTTGTTATCAATGTTGTTTTTTCACTAAGAGGATCTGAATCCTCACCCGAGGTCATTTTGGAGGTACTTTCTGGGTACTAGCAGTACCCAGCCCAAAATTCTTCTACACCTCGGCAAATTTTGGCTTAAGGTAGCCTTTAAATTTCACCAACAGGTTTTCTAACTGAATATTAATGTTTTGCCTTCTCAAAGTCCCCACTTAAGATAGTGTATACCATCCATCAAAAAGGCAGGTTTTTAAAAAAATGGAAAAATCAGAATAGAAGAATTTTGTTATTAAGTAAATGTTGCCTCTTTGGTTGAGGTAAAAATAATTACTAAAAGAATAAAAATAGCAGTGCAGAGGGAAATCCCTTGATTTTGCTTGTCTATGTAATTTACTGCAATTAGCTTTTATTTAGAATTGGTGTATTTTCCACTGAAGTTTTTTACTCTAACAGCCCTGTTAGAGTAAAAAAGAGAAAAAAAATCTTCTGATATGTAATTGTTATCTGCGAGTTCTGATAATAGGTTCTAAAAATCCTGATCAATGCACTCCAATGGAGCCCATAAGTTGGCTGACTAAACTTTGTTGTTTAGCTTTCTTGTTTGCTCCAAGAAAAGCAAACAATACCTCTTTGACAGGAGCTTCTTGTCACTTGTCTTACCTGCTTGCGAGTTCTTGTCTTTCCAGTCCGAAGCTTGATGTATCTGGCTATCAGCTCGTTTCGACCTGAAACAACAGGAGCGTGATAAACAGATTTGAATAACTAAGAGGAAAAAGATAGAAATGCAAAGTTTGGAATGGGCAAATTTTCCTATCACACTGATAAGAGATTGGTAAATCAGGTGACTGATCTTATCACTTTCATTCTATAAATGCATCTAGAGTCTTTACTGTGATGCATTTTTTGTTAAATCTATTAAACGTTAAATATAAATGTGAGATATGTGCTTTTTATGCATAGATAGGCATAATCAATGAATTGTTTATTTTTCTTGTTGGATTTATGATTCCTCTATCAAGAACTCCAAAGCACGTTTCTCCTTCTATGTTTTGCATCCTTTGGAAAAAAAAGGTAACCAACAATTTTACATCTGTCAGCTCAAAAATGATTCAATAGTGAAAGAAAATTAACATTGAACGGAAGATACTTGATGGCTGCATCTGTATAAAATATATCTCTGCCCAACAAAAGCTTGATTGGAATATGTTTGAATATGGGACAAAAAAAATCCAAATGAGTTGTTATAAAAACATAAATTTAAGATAATTGAAGTGTGTTACTCCTAATGGAGCTAATATTCAGAATAAGATACAACTGTGTTTTCTGCAGTGTTTAATACTGTTTATGTTGTTTGTGTTCAAATTTTGGTTTCTCAGCAATGACAAAAATAACAATAGATATTTTATATGACTCTACATTCTGCATTTTTCTTGTTTGGATGAAAAGTATGGAAAAAGTAAGGCCCAAAAATTCCATTTCATTCCAGCTGACTTAATGTAGCTGTTGAATATAAAACTATTTATTTTACCAAGGAAGGTGTACTAAAATAATTCACAAGTAAGCATAAGGTATATACATACCTTATGCTTACTTCCAAAGCATAAGGTATGTACATTTTAACAAATCAGATCCAGTTTTGCTGTGACAACACTGTGCTCCATTAGCATGGGAAGAAAAAAAAAGCTCAGTGGTAGCAGAGCCTTTAAAATTAATCTAATTCCACCTCAGGCTCTTCAAAGCCCAACATTTTGAAAGGAAACAGACCTAGCTTTTCATGCTATTACAGAAAATAATGGCAACTGAATATATTGGGTTTAAAACAGTGCAGCCCTGACTCAATTATAATTAAAGCATAGCTTTGTAGAAATTTCCAATTAACAACCACCCAAAACATTCTTCTGCCCTCAGCTCCGCTCTAATTGCTGTAGCAATGCACTGACCCTGCTTAGCCCTTTCATATGGTAATAACACACTGCCAACCAAAACTATTACACAAATTATCGATAGGGAGGCACTCTAATTATGTGTCCAGCTGTAGCCAGTCTGCGCCATGGCACTGCAGTACTCCTCCATTAAATTTGCCAAACCCAGTCAGGATGAAGCTTTTTTTTTTTTTTCCTCCAGCTATACTTCATTATCAATTAAAAGGTCTTGCTGTGGCTCCGACAAGTGAATCACACTTGTATTAATATGTATTAATAAAGCATATCTTAGGAAATTGGAGGGAAAAGATTTTTTCATCAAAGTCAACACATTACAAAACAAAAAAGAACATGAGAGGAAATCTCACAATTGCATGTAGGAGGGAGAGAAGACATCCGATATTCTCTGGAGGACATCTTTGTTCACATCATGGAAACGCACAATGACGTTGAGACCTTCTCTTGAGAGGAAGTCACTTAAGAGCTCTAATTTGAAAGAGTCATTTCTTCCATGCATTCTGTGACATACAGTCTTAGGACTCCAGAGGCATCTTGGGATGTAATCTAAGCTAATCATTTGATTGCCTGAAGAATAAAATGTCAGAAAACCTAAACACAAAAATGTTTAGGGCCACAGCATTATTTAAAGTCTTAGGACCTCTCTCGCTTTGGGTGTGAGAGGTCCTAGATGAATCTTCAATTTGTCCCCACCTGGTATACTCCTTTATTTACAAACCTAAAGATAACAGGTACATTGATTTTGATTTTGATTTTTATCTCATGGTTCTCACTTCTGGCATGAGAGTTTATGATATGGCCAAGTCAATAAAATAGGCTTGTGGATTAATGAACTATCAGTGAAGTTTTGCTTTGTGTGGGGCTAAAAACCTAAAACGAAAAAAGAATGCCAACAGGAACCAGGTTCATGGACGCTCTCATCTTTTCAAGATCTTAGGACAGGCAGCCTGAATCATAACGACTATCAGTATCTGCAAAGCAGTAGAGACGGCGGCAAACAAAACATAAAGGTCCGCCACAACGTCTACTAAGTTTCACATCCCAAAAATTAATAAAACTATCTTCATTAGAGCTGACACGTGCACATTTGTTAAGGTTTTGCATTAAAAGAATCAGCTTGTGTGTATGGGTGACACCTAAGACGTGTATAGAAGAGCAATGTCAAAAGTCACGAGTCAGAAGTTGAAACTTTAACTTTATTTCTCACCATCTTGGTCAGTTTTGATTCACTTTAGTGAATTTTTATATTGAGAATAGAAAAACAAAAAAGCAAAGTCAAACTCTTGAAAATGTATTTTCTAAAGCCAGTGTACATCTTCAGAGTATTAAATTAAGGAGTAGTCTGTTTCCATCTACTCTCCAATTTAAACAGTAGAAGGTTGGGATTCTACTTCTAGCTGTAGTTGGTTGGTCAACCCTGACATTATTTTCAAGCTGCATTTATCCAAGGCCAGTCCGAACCTCGTCACATGACCTTACACATTAAAAACACAACATCTGGGGATTTGCACTTTCTGCAAAGTTTACTTGATGAAGCAGACATCAGAATCATTTTCAGTAATTCATACACAGAAGACACGCAACATGACAATACAGGCATTCATGCAAAGTCCTGATTCCAACATCAAAGCACACAAATGGGCAGCTGAAAGCTTGCCTACTGCTGAATAATTCATTCTTTTCACCAGGCTGGAGAAAAAAGCCCAGTGGGTCCAAGCAAGCCTGAATGTTTTCCCCTCTTCAGTGCAAAACAATAGCAGTTGGGGGGGAAAATGGTAGTATACACATTAAACATACAACAAATACATTCCCCCCCATCTGATAGTTACAAAATATACACCTACTAAGAGATGACAAATGAAAACCTGTTATGTATTTGAGTGTGTGTGTGTGTGTGTGTGTCTATATATATATATATATATATATATATATATATATATATATATATTATTTTAAATAAATCAGTGGAGCAAACTTAAAAATAAAAATAAGCTTTAAACTCAAGTCTTCTGCTGTTAACATAAAATATATTAAGATACATCGACTCAAAAGCCACTGAAAGTAATTGTATAACAGAAAATAATCTGCAAGAACCTATTTATCAAGTTATGGAAAGTTATTCAGAATTTCCATTTCACTTATCAAGAGCTGTAAGGTTTTTGAATGAAAAATGCATTACTGATGATTCTGGGGAAAAACACATTGTGACAGATGTATAGATGTTTTCCAGTTAACCCTGATCAAAACTGTAGCTGTATCATACAAATATTCATAAATAAGAACAAAGTGTTAAAAAAAATAGCCAAGAATATAATCTTAATTTAGTGTTTTCTGGTTTTGCAGCTGTATAATAAATAAAGTTGTGTAAAACAAAATAGATAGCATCCTGTGATCGTATGTGGACATTTAGAAATTTTAAATGTTTTAACAATAAAAACTGAAATTAAAAAAAAAAAAAAAAAAAAAAAAAAAACTAACAAGACACCTTTAAAAATTGTCAAGTGTATTAAAAATGCAAATTCCGGTAAGGAAACTCACATGTATGTCCACTTAACATGGCCAAAATTAAACATTGTTCACATCAGGTGCATTTGATCAGAACATCATTACTCAGCATTCAGGCATTTCATCTGGTGTGCAGTGACTGCTGGAGTGAGTAAAAACCACGACAAGAACTGAAGCCTCAGAAGGAAGATTGTGGCATCTTATGAGTGTGCGGAGGGATTCTCAACCCCAAAGAATTTTAAATCAGCCATTCCACGGCCTACTAAAAATAGTCCACAAGTGGAGGACATATCACAGAATCCATCATTAATTCTATCATGTTTCAGAGGATGTTAGAGAAAAATACAGGACTGTGTAGAAAATAAAAATAACTGAAGCACAACTGAACGCTGCAACAAAACAATTACACTAAACATACCAGTTAGTCCACCAAAGAAGAAACCAAAGAGTCCTAGGCAAAGCCAAAACCAAGATCTCAATCTGGTTGAGATGTGGTAAGGTGACTTGAAGATGGGCTGTGCCCGAATGAAACATCTCCTCAAAGATCTCATGGCTGAAAGTGAGGAATGAGACAAGATAGCTCAGTCCGATACTCAGTATCTATTTAAACGATAGGGGGTAACACTGGCAATCACGGGGTAGGGAATAAAGGTCCAAGTCAAGTTCTCCAGAGCTTCAATACATTCTGCAACTTTTACATCCCTGCACCTACACACCTGGATCAAATGGCTGAATATCAGCATGCCAGAGTCCTGGTAACAAGCCACTCAGTGGATTCGGGTGTGTTGGAGAAATGATTCATCTAAAAGTTGCAGGACATTAGATATTTAGGACAGGACATGGGCAACCCGTGTGGGATGTGATATGTTTATCATCTTTTCTTTTCGAAACATAATTATGGTTAGTTATTTTTTCTAAAAGGTGAATTGTAATCACAAACATCTTTAAATCAAAAACTGAATATTATTTTTTTTACAACTCTGCATAATTGATTGAAAAGATTTTTTTTAAATACTTAAATATAGAAACTATATAAAAGTGTGGTTATTCTTGTGTAGACTTTTAAACAAAGTCATCTCTTTGTTTAAAATGTTTCTTGTTACAATTTAAGTCCACAGCAAAGTCCAGGAATCAAAAGTTGTTCAGAACAGAGAACATTTACTGTTTATAGGATTTTCCTGTCAGTCAAAGCAATGGAAAAAAGATTAAATATTTATTGTGGTTCTCCTGGAAAGATCTGTTCTGTGGAGCAGGAATCCTCCAGCCTAGTCTGAGTGAAC